CAGTAGATCAGAAACATCTGGAAAGTTTCGAAATGTGGCATTGGAGAAGGATGGAGAAGATCAGTTGGACCGATTATGTGAGAAATGAAGAAGTGTTAATTAGAGTCAGTGAGCAGAGGAATATCATACACGAAATAAGAAAACAGAAGGCTAATTGGATTGGTCGTGTTTTACGCAGAAACTGCCTTCTAAAAGAAGTTATTGAAGGAAAGATAGATGGGTGGATAGAAGTGACAAGAAGACGAGGAAGAAGACGTAAGAAGATGCTGGATGACCTTGGAGACAGAAGAGGATACTGTCATTTGAAGGAGAAAGCTCTAGATCGCATTAAGTGGAGGAATTATTTTGGAAGAGACTGTGGACCTGTCGTCTGACAGATTACTGATGATTGATGACGATGATGTTGTATATCTTAATTCCCTCTACCACCACATATGGTATTTCACAATTTATTTCCAGCTTGTGTCCATGCTGAAAGAATTATTCTAGTGAACCCACTTTACTTACCTATGTTTGATAGTGATGCAAGAAATTCTGTGGCACACTTTGACCCTCATATTACTGATTTCTGGAATAATGTTCCAGGTTTCAGTCTCTATAAAGCCTTCACTATGCATCATTTATATATGTAGATTTTCTCTATCAACTGTCCATAATATTGTGACATGACAGCTGAAAGCAGGAGTAGAAAGCCCAGAAATGTTGTCCATTGCCAGGCAATTTCCAGTAAATATGTACCCATGGCAACGAAACATGCTCCTGCGTCAAAAATATCGTGACCATTACTATGCAACAGCCCATTTAACATGTTGCTCAACAGTGGAGGACTTCTTTGAAGCCATGTTTCCTATGCTGTTTGTGTGGAAGTTATTTAATGAAGACACCAGCCAAGTCGACAGTCATGACTCTGGAGTCGATGGCCAGGAGCCGGAGGTTGGAATTGGTGATTAAAGTGTTAAGTTACATTGTTAGACACTGATACAAAGAATGACTAGTGAAAACATAGAAGACTGAATGTTTGCAGTAGTGCTTTTTAAAGTATGGAGATTGGTAACAGTGTTAAAATTATTTGTAGTTAATGAATTATAAGCATCTGTTAAGTTCAGTTTCCAGTCCGAGCCCCTATTCCGCTGACTATCACATGGCAGTGTTACTTCATGGAGAACACTTTGAATATTCCAGTTTTTCATCCTCTCTGAAGAATGAAATTTGAGGTAGTAAACCTCTTTTGCAGGCAAACTCTGGGGGGCAAAGTAGTGACTTCCCCCCCCCCCACCCCGCCCAAAGGAAAAAAAGACCAAATAGGATATATCTGTTCTTGAAAAGTGTCTCAATGTTCAAGAGTCACAATTACAAGTAGCATCCTCTCTCTGCACTACAATGTCTCTTGTGTCATATCATGTAAATGACAAACATTCAGAGAGCTCAGTTGGTTCCTGACTGGGGCAAGGAATGTTTCTCTTCTGCAGTGTCCAGGCCAGCTGCAGGGATCATGCAGCATCCTATCTAATGGGTACTGGAGCTCTTTACCTTGTAGAGAAGTGGTCAGGGCATGAAGCTGACAACTCACCTCCATCTAACATATGCCTTCTTGGTGCAGTGTTAAGTGCAACAACAACGATATTTTGAAGGTGACTTGATTATGAACAATTGATCATGAAGCGTTTCCTGATTAGTGATAGAAATGAAGACACCACTGCTCCTTCAGCTAGTGGTTGGAAAGAAGCTACCCGGAGTGTGAAAACGAGAAGGTACGATGAGAACTGTTTATCACTAGGCTTTACGAAAACTGTGATAAACGATGAAGAACATCCACAATGTGTAATCTTTATAAGTATTTTAGGTGCCGATAGTATGAAACCTAATAAATTAAAGAGACATCTTGAAACCAAACATTCAAAGTTTACAGATAAACCAAAAAATTTTCTTATAAGAAAGCTTAGTGGTTTAAAGTCCACCCAACAGAAATTTGCTAAAACTAACAAATGTGACTTCTAAGATCCTTTTAGCCTCTTACCAGGTTTCTCATAGAATTGCTAAATGCAAGAAACCACACACAATTGCAGAAACACTGATTTTACCAGCAGCGATTGACATAGTATCCACAATGTTGGGTGACTCTTCTGCTCAACAATTGAAAAATATCGCCCTCTCTAATGACACAGTTTGTAGAAGAATTTCAGACATTTCTGATGATTTATGTCAGCATTTAATTGAGAAGTTGCGTAACAAGTGCTTTGCACTTCAAGTGGATGAAGCGACTGACATTCATAAAGATGCTCATTTGATTGCGTACGTTCGTTTTGTTGATGAGTGTAATATGTGAGAGGAATTGTTTTTCAGTGAGCCTATCTTGAAAACAACAACAGCTCAAAGCCTTTTCGACATGATTAATGCTTTCTTTAATGAAAATGGGATATCATGGGTTAAGTGCACTGGTATATGTACAGATGGAGCTCGTTCAATGTCTTGTGCCACAGAATTTCTTGCATCACTATCAAATGTAGGTAAGTAAAGTGGGTTCAGTAGAATAATTCTTTCAGCATGGACACAAGCTGGAAAAAAATTGTGAAATACCACTTGTGGTGGCAGAGGGAATTAAGATATATATAATGATATATAAAATACGTACCATGTTGTGAAGTTATTTGTGTCGTGATATACCCAACATGTGACAATATTCTAACAATGTATAAAGTGAATGGCAACACAAAAAAGATTCTTCAAAGCCTATTTAAAACCTTTGCAATTTTTGTATAATTGCTTTATGTACGATGGAAGATTATTAAACATCTTTAAATCCATATAGCAAATTCCCTTCTGATATAGTGATAGAAGAGCTGAGGGTTGTGTAAGAGTTATTCATAGGGGCTTCATGTTTCCTCGCGTTGTGTGCTACTCTTAGCTGCTCTTTTGCGCTCTTGTTATTGATATGAAGTCGGGCGCTGTTACGTGGTCTGGGAACCATGTCGAAGTATTTGTAATATGAAAGAATATCCTAGGTCTTGAGTCTGTCTTGAGGCTTAACGTGCCTTGCTGAATGAGAAGGGATCTCACACACACAGTGAAGAAGTCTTCAGACCACCACAAAGCACTGGTAGTTGATACACTTGATTTATTTAGCACACTACACTTTTCTTTTACAACAGCAGTTCTACAGTAACTACTATAATTTAACAAACATATACAAACTTGGATGCCCACAGCACAAGATAGCGATGGACAGTCTTCCAGCCTA